AGCTGGAGAAGAGAATCTGCAGGTCCTGGTCTCCAGAGGGTCGCCAAGGAACTCAGACCCCAGATGGAGAGTTGTAACAGCCACTGCCTAGGGCCAGGGTCCCTATACAGGAGGCCTGAATGCACCGACTGTAGCACTCGAAAGGCTGATGCCTGAGGCCTGCACGGAGACTGCACTACCAGAGGTGCCAGTTGTGGCCGCTTCTGCCTGCCTACTGCTGCAGCTTCCTGTGAGATACTGAGACCAGCGTTTGAAGAGTTCTTATCAGTGGTTTCTCTGGGCAGAACAAGAGCACACTCAGCCAGCTTGGTGACAATGGTCCAAAGAGAAGGGGTCAAAGAGATGGGATCAACAGAACATATTACACATTAGATGTGCGTGTGCATGCATGTGTGCATACATATATACATATATGTGTGGCACAGCAGAAGGAAAAGCAATTTTAGAAGTGCAAGCCCCTAAAAGAAGCCACAGCACATCATGATAAACCTCTTTATAAAGGTATCGTTTTTGTCACAACATAATTATATGTGATGCCACCTTCAATAATAGTCAGGGCAACAGGATGTAGAGACATCACAGTGAGTCCACTTAATATAAGTAATTAGACAACACTTCTCTACAAATTATGGTTGCTTTTCCTTTCTTTCTCCTTTTAAACTTTTTTTTAAATTTATTTATTTTTTTTTGTCTTTTTGAGACAGGGTCTCCCTGTAGTCCTAGCTGACCTGAACTCACTATTTAGACCAGGCTGGCCTTGAACTCACAACGATCTACCTGCCTCTGCCTCCCAAGTGCTGGGACTAAAGGCATATGCCACCAAGCCCAGCCTAAAATTTAATTTTTAAATTTATTTTATGTGTATGAGTGTTATGCCTGCATGTATGTAAGTGAACCTGTGCTATGCAATGCCTGTGGAGGGCAGAAGAGGGTGTCGGGTCCCCTGGAACTGGAGTTATGGACAAATTATTAGTTATATGTGGGCTCTGGGATTTGAACCCAGGTCTTCTTCAAGAACAGCTAGTGCTCTTAGCTACTGAGCGATCTCACCAGGCTACACCCCCCACCCGCCCCTGGCTTTTTCTTAAGACAAGGTCTCACTATGCAGTCTTGGCTGACCTGGAACTTTCTGTATAGACCAGGCTGACCTTGAGCTCAGAGAAATCTGAGCCTGCCTCCAGAGGGCTGGATTAAAGCTGCACACCACGATGCCAGGCGTAAAAGAATTTTTCTTAAAGTGATTTTTACATTTATCAATTTAAAAAATATTTTTATTTATTATTTTTATTTTTATGTGTATGAGTGTATTGCCTGCATGTATGTGAGAGCACCCGTGTCGTGCAATGCTGTGGAGGTCAGAAGAGGGCTTTGGATTCCCCTGGAACTGGGGTTAAGGATGGTTCGTAGCCACCATGTGGGTGCTGGAAATCGAACCTGGGTCCTCTGCAAGAGCAGTCAGTGCTCTTAACTGCTAAGCCATCTCTCCAGCCCCAGTTATCAATTTAAAAAAATTTTTATTTATTATTTTCATTTTATGTGTATGCATCTATTGTCTGCATGTAGGTAAGTGCACCCGTGTTTCACAATGCCAGAGGAGGACAGAAGAGGCTGTTGGATCCCCAGGAACTGGAGTTACGGATGGTTGTTAGCCGCCATGTGGGTTCTGGGATTTGAACCCAGTTCTTCTGCAAGAACAGCCAGTGTTCTTAACTGCTGAGCCATCTTTCCAATCCCTACAGTTATCAACTTAAAAAAAAGTACATATGTTTAATGTATACACAGCTAAGGAAAGGGAAGTCCAATAGAATTTTCTGTACAATTGATGTGTGGGCTGAGGACAGGGGAAGAGGTTGCAGAACCCACATCCAACATGCACAAAAATAACTTACACAGAAATCCCTGCAAGGAACCCTGACACTGGTCACACAGTTGATACTCAAGGCCATACTTGTCCGAATAGTCCCCCCACTTGCTGACCGAGGATGGGAATGCAGGCAGGATCCTTGAACTCCTCCTGCCACACTGGCCCTCCCTCAGAGGGCTTGGAGGCAATGGTGCTCTTCAGCTAGGGATACAAGCAGGACCCTCAGTCCAGCTTCAGTAGCATGTCACACAGGTGACACCCAACTGTCTCATCGCCCCCCCCACCTGGGATGCTTGATGGGATGCTCGATGGGATGCTCAAAGGGGACACCTTACTGTCTCATCGGTCCCTGCCCCCACCCCCCATCCGGGATGCTTGATGGGATGCTCGCTGGGATGCTTGAAGGGGACACCTGACTCCACCCCATGCTTGACACCCATGCTTGACAGGATGCTTGATGAGATGCTCGATGAGATGCTGGACGGGCCTTTATTGAGGATGTGAGAGGCTTCCTTCCTGTCACTATGCTCCACCTTACTGGGAGCTACAGGGAGGGGGGACCTTGGTGGGACAGTGAGATAGGTAATGGGGAGAACAGAGAAGTGGTGAACTCCCCATTGAGTAGCTCAGGGATGGTGGGGTGGGCAGTGGGGGGCATCTTCTGGATGAGGGTGGTGCTCACCGGGTTGATATTCTTGGGAATGCTGAACTCATTCTTTTTTAAAATTTTATTTACCTTAATTTATTTTTATTTTATGTGTATGAGTGTTATGCCTGTGTGGCTGTAAGAGCAGCCAGCTTAACCGCTGAGCCATCTCTCTAGTCACTGTTCTCCTGATCTCAGTCTTCTTGATCCGGAGGTAGGTCTCTTTCAGGCTCGTGGTCTCAAAATGTGGTGTGCCCACTAGCAAGGCGTACATGATGCACCCAATGGGCCACACCTCCATCTTGAAACTGTACCTCTTTTTGCTCATCACCTTGGGAAGTTGGCAATTCAGTACCGTATAGTGCCGCATAGAGCCGCATAGTGCCGCACAGCGTCTGCTTTCTGTCATGTTCCACTTTGGTTGCCAGTCCCAGATCTCCTATTTGCACCTCCAGATCTTTGTTCAGGAAGAAGTTGCCCAGCTTGAGATCCCCATGAAGGACCTGGTTCTGGTGCAGGTACTGGGAGTCCAGGATGATCTGTAGCAGCTGGCTTGGTGAGTGAGTGCTTTCCTTGTGCAGGTCCAGAAGAGATCTCCTGCAGTGAGCTCCAGTACTGATACCAAGAATACGAAGTCGCTGTCCTGCAAAAGGAAGCCTAAGGCATGCTGGTGTGTGAGGCTGCGGTGGATGGAGATTTCCATCATCTCCTTCTGATGGAGCTTGGGCACCAACCACCTTGTCCACGAACATCTCCTTTGGAGTCTGCTTTTGCTAGCTGGCCCGGCTGCTGCCTCCCCCATAGGACCCAATATGGGAATTCTGCCAACTTCTATCTATCTCAATTCCAGATGAGTTTGGGGACCCAGTGTGATTAGACTTGATCACCGGACCCCTTCTTTAAGCTGGAGGGGTACACTGCCACTTTCCCAGAACCAGTATCAACTCAGAACTGTTACCCAATAGGTCTCAGAAAGTCCGATGTTTTTTCCTTTTCCCGATGTACAGTTACTTTAGTAAAAGGAGAAAGGCCAACAATGAAACTCTTCAGTAGTGTAAGATCTTTCCTCGAGCGGACCTGGCCATCCCTTCCTTCAAGGAGTCCTGGATCTCTGAACTGGTTCAAGTTGAGAAATTGTCAGGTTGGCCTTCCCTGTTGCTATGATCCAACGTAATTCGCTTTTTCATTTGTTCCAGTTTTCCTGCTTAGACCGTTCAGCAAAAACTTAGTAGGTTTCTTATCTGCTTAGTTCCTGGGAACGCCATGATTAATTAGCCAGCACCAAAGGTCCACGAGAGTCAGGCCATTATCGACATCGCTTTGCCAGTGCTGCCCACTTGGAACTATAGAACCAGAGAGCTATGGAAAGAATTTCAAGTCTGCTCTCAGAACCTCTGGGATGGGGTGAGTCAGAAGTCAGTGGTCACCACATGCTGCTATAAAGATGCTTGGACCACAAAGCCCCTGTGTGCCCGTGTCCACTTCTTTAACTAGGTGTATGAAGCTGCACTAACCAAGATGTAGTGTGGTGGTGAGGGGCATGCTAGACCCATCCTGTACCCGGCAGGACCACACAGCTTCACAGAGCTGAGCAACATCCCAGTTGCTGTCACTCAATTCCCAGTCACTGATTCACAACCACTGGCACAGAGGACCACCATGTTTCAACTCTCCTGAGACTAGTTGCAAGGGAGGAACATGGAAAATAAACATGGTTCCAACGAAACGGACAAGAAACTTTCAATTGGGGATAAACTCATAACGAAGTCAACACAGATCACTGCATGATGGGGCATGGATTTAGATTCCGTCAGATGGTGCAGGACGTCTTTTTTTTTTGGACGACTTTTAAGCAGAGACATGTCTGACAAGAGGAGGGCAACCTGCAAATATTTGGGGGCAGAGATTTCAAGATCAAAGGGGTTAATGAATAAGAAATGGAAGGGAGTCAGGCAGGTAAGACCCGCTGCCAAGTCAGGAGCCCAGGCCCTGCAGAGGCCTTCAGTGAAGTTCTTAGAGCGTTGGAAAAGCCAGGCATGGTGGGCACATGCCCGTAATCCCATCACCCCAGAGGTAGAGGCAGAAGGATCCTGAGTTGGAGGCCAGTGAGTGCATAGTGAGTGCCAGACCGGCCAGGGAAAGTAAGACCTGAGTCTGGGTAGATGAGAGAATTTTAATCAGAGGCAGGGAGGCTGGGGGTGGAGCATGTCGCGAACAGTGCCTGTAGTGAGGCCAGCATCTCCAGGGAGCAGACAGGGACCGCGCAGTAGCATTTCGAACACGTTTCTCACTGCAACTAAAAGAGCAGGTAGCGAGTGGTCCTGGAAATACCGAGATCCTAACAGGGCGCACGCGGTCAGAGCAGCGCCCAGCGGCCTCCACTAGCTCAATGGAAACCCGGAGCATGCTCTCCTAATGTCCCCGCCCCCAGCGGGGAGGGGCGGAGGGTGAGGGGTTAGCGCCTGCAGATTAGATCCTACCGTGAGAATAGCGGGACCAGGGAAACCCGGAGAGCCTTCTGCTGCCTCTTCCTAGCCCAACCCACTGCAGGGGCACTGTGGGCTTCCACGCAGCGGTGCCCGGAGTACAGCGAAGGCTGCCCAGGCCGGCCTCGCCCTGCAGATGGTCGCCGATTGCAGGCAGAACAGGAAGCCAAGCGCAGGTTAGACCAGCGGCCGGTCTGGCGTGGTCAGGTCGCTGGCCTTGGGGCTGCAGGGCGCCCCGGAACCTCCTAGACACCTCACTGCCAAGGGGTCTTGGTTGGAACCCGACTTTGTAAACTCTGTAGTTTTCTTTTCTATTTTAGACAGGATCTCATTCTGTACCCCAAGCTGGTCTCGAACTCTCGGCAAGTCCTCCTGCCTCAGTTTCCCTAGTTGCCGGGATCACAGGCGTGTCCCACAGGGCTGCACATAGTTTTAAATAAATGTTTGACATTTATTTATTTATTGTGTGTAGGTGTGTGTGTGTGTGTGTGTGTGTGTGTGTGTGTGTGTGCATGTCACAGCGCGCGTGTGCAGGTCCGAGGACAACTTGCGGGAGTCTGTTCTCGTCTTCCACCATGGGGGTTCCGGGGGATCGAACTCAGGTCCTGGAGGCAAACGCCTTTACCCACGGAGGCGTCCCAATGGCCCAGTGGGGGTCTCAGGACGCAGCCCACGGGGCAGCGTTCTAGCCCCTGAGCTCCAGGAAGCACATTTTCCTCTTCCAGGGGACTTGCCGGCCTTGATTAAGGCTGTTTAGGCATCGCGGCTCACCCCAGGTGGGAGCTTTGGAAATGGTAATTTTTGTAAATTGATCCTGGATTATTTGCTGTTCAGGACACACGTAGGCCGACCCCCTGCAGGCATTTCGACCCTACCCTGCACCAGAGAGTCGGAAGTGGGGTCTGGAAAGAGGTTGAGGGGGGATCCTGCACCCCAATCCCCCCCGAGGGCACTGCGTGACCTCAGCAGCACAGAAGCCTGGTGACACGCCGGCCGCTTCCGATTTCACTTTCCTTTTCTCGGGCCCGGCCGCTCCATTTTCCCGGTAGGCTGCCTGGGGATTTGCCCGGTGATTAGTGACGTCACACATCCTGAAGTTCCTATTGGTGGGTAGAGTTGGGCAGCGGCCAATCGCAGGGCTCGTCTAGGCGAAACCTCGGCGGAGGGCACGGAGCGGGGAGACTGCAAGGCGGGGACGCTGGGTGCAGACGCGACCTCAGAGTGGCGCGGCGGGAGTGGAGTGGCCGAGCCGGGGCGCGGTGAGTGCGGCCTGCGCGGCGTCGCGGAGCAGGGGCGGCGAGGGTGGCCGCGGGCCCAGCGCTGAGCCGGCCAGGCCCGGGAGGGCGGGCGGAGGACGAACTCGGTGCTCGGCTCCAGCGCCCGCCCGGCCGTTCCCCCCACCTCCCCCGGGCCAGCCGCCTTCCGCCCCTTCTAGTCCCGCAGAGCCTGCAGAGAGCAGGACCCGGATGACGGCGGGCCGGCTCGGAGCGGTGCAGGCAGTGGCCCAGCGCTTCCAGGACCGAAGTCTGCGTTCCTTATCTTGGATTTATTTTTATTTATTTTTTTGGTCGGAGTAAACCGGTTTAGCCACTTAGACTGGAGGTGTGTGTGTGTTTCCCCTGGCGATTTTCTGCTTAATTAGCTTTAGGGGAAAAAGTATGTAAATTTAACTTTGTGAAGTAAATGGGAGAAAACACCTAAAAATTCCCAGTCCGTTCCAGATTTTGACAACGCATCGATTTGTGTGTGCTTCCCAAGGGGGGACGAATAACATCCGTTCATGCATGCCTGAGCCTCTTGTTTAACGGTTAGCTGAAATCATGACTCCTAGAGTAGTTTTTACCCAAGTTGAAGAATAATCACCTTTTCTAAAAGCAGGCTCTCATTGATGTTCCTAAAATTACAAGAAAATTCTGAATCAAGATTCTTACTACGGGCCAGGCCTGGTGGCCCACACTTTTAATCCTAGCACTCAGGAGGCAGAGGATCTCCTCGTGAGATTGAGGCCAGCCTGGTCTACACAGCAAGTTCCAGGCCGGTGGGGTTACTGGGCGGCTGTCTCAAAACAAAATAAAGACTTATTACTATGTGCCCCAAGCTGGTCCAAAGCGCTTCTGTGTAGCCCAGGCTAGCCTCCCACAGGCTATCCTGCCTCTTGGGTGCTTGGATTACAGGCATCCTCAAGCATGCCTGGCTGCAATTTTTAATACAGAACAGTTTTAGATTTACAGAACAGTTTTAGATTTACAGTAAATTTGAGAAAATGGCTTAGTTTCCAAGTACCCCCAAAGTTTCCCCTTTCATTCATAGCTCACACATTATTATTGACTGAAGTCCAGGGTCTGGTTGTGTTCCACCTCAGTACTGCATGATCCTGTCCAGGTTATCTCACTGCATTTAGTCTCATCTCATTTTTGTCCCTCTTGACTGTGACACTTTTTTTGACTTTGTTCTCATGAACTTTGAAAGTTTTGAGAAATACTAGTGTGAGAAATACTTCAGATGATTAACCTACAAAGAGAAAAGGTTTATTTTGGCTCACAGGTTTGGAGGTTGCAGCCGTGATTAGTTGACACCTGTTGAACTGGGCCTATGGAAAGACAGCAAACAGTTGGATGTGCATGGCAAAACAAAACCGCTCACCTCACGGCCAGGAAGCAGAGAGGGAGGACTAGACCGAGGTCCCTCAGTCCCCTTTAGGATACTCTCCTAGTGACCTTAAGGATGCCCACTAGTCCCAACCTCTGTTCTTGGACCAGTGATTAAGAGCACTGACTGCTCTTGCAGAGGACCCGGGTTCAATTCCCAGCACTCACATGGTGGCTAACAACTGTCTGTAACTCCAGTTCCAGGGGATCCAATGCCCTCTTCTGGTCTCCTTGGACACTGCACAGCACAGTACACTTACACAGATGCAGGCATAGCACTTATACACATAAGTTTAAAGTTCCACAGTCTTCCCAGTAATGCCGGTACAAGTAGCAAGCCTTTCTCCTGTGGATCTTTGAGGAGTTTTAAAACCTAAACTGTAGCACCTGGATGTGTATTTTGTGTGGTAACCCTGTTTTAGAATTTGATATCTTCCTCCTAAGACTGGGCTTTGGTTACAGAGGAAGTAGATTGTTTTATGCTGTCATTGAGATTTATGACTTGATGTTGACCTTGATCACCCATCTGGGTATGTGTTAGTTTTCTCCAGTGTAAAGTTGTGTACTGCATTTTTTTTGCCTTTGCATTTTGTAATTCTTTGGACAGTGGTTACTGTGTTCACTGAAGGAATGGGAAATTAGGGATTTTCAATTTCCATGTACTGCATGGAAAACTTGTCCCCTGATTATTCATTCATTTATTTTTATCAGTTTGGACTTTCAGGTATGTGTTAAGATTTTGGATTGTAATCCAGTATGAGTTTATTTTGTTTTTCAAATTGATATGCAACTTGGGCCATTAGGCGCTCTCTATTGGGTTTGTGCCTTCCTGTTTTAATAGTGCTTTTTGGCCATTCAGACACTTTTACTCATGTGACCTCTCAAACTGCAAACAGGATGGTAAACTTGGCAAAACAATGTCCTTTTGTTAGAAGGAAACTGAGGCCCAGGGTGGTGAGTCATGATGTCACTTCCTGTAAGAGAGCATCAAGGGGGACTCAGACTGGGTGTGACATCACAGAAGATGCTGCAGACCTTAGGACCTTTGAGTTAAGGCTTTTTGAAGTGGCACCTGATTTACACTCTCAGGATCAGAATAAAAAATAACTGGGAATAAGTTGTTTGTAGAAACAATGTAAGACAAGCATCTAGGATGAAACAACTTTCGGGATTGATGGAAATGGAATATTAGAATGTTGATTCTACCTACCCCCTTCCAGTATGAGAGAGAGAGAGAGAGAGAGAGAGAGAGAGAGAGAGAGAGAGAGAGAGAGAGAGAGAGACTACTCTACTGTGCAGTTTGTAACCTCAGTGCTCTTTTAAATTATTTGTGGGTATATGGCATGGGCACGGGCATGTGTGCCACAGTGTGCATGTTGAGGTCAGAGAACAATTTGCAGGAATCCTTTCTCTCCTTCCCGGGGATCAAATTCAGGCTGTTGGGATTGGTGGCAAGTGCCTTTACCCACTAAGCCATCCTCTGGCCCACCACAGGTTTTGAAGGAATAACAGGATAAGATCCATGTTAGAAAGATGATGCTGCAGGGGCTGGAGAGTTGGCTCAGCAGTTAAGAGCACTGACTACTCTTGCAGAGGACGTGGGTTCGATTCCCAGCACCCACATAGTGGCTATGAACCTTTCTTAACTCCAGTTCCAGGGGAATCTGAAACCTTCTTCTGACCTCTGCAGCATTGCATGATACAGGTGCACTCACATACATGCAGGCAATACACTCATACACATAAAATAAAAATAATAAATAAAATATTTAAGGAAAAAGATGATGCTGTTGCACTCACCATAATTACTCAGTGCCTCAGTTACTCTGTGTGTCCTTATTTTATGTTCCACTTGGGAAAATATTTTGCTAATGTGCCATCAGTCACATCAGAGATGCTAAGGTGTAATGGCATGTGTCTCAGTTTTGATGAAAAATTGTAACTCCCTTTTTGCTAGCTTATACCATAACTTCCCAATATGAATGGTCAGACTTTCTTCATTTCACTGACCCTTGGATGGATATTTCAACTTGCTTTTCTATTGCTGTGATTAAATAGTCTGGCCAGAAGCAACTAGGGGAGAAAAGGGTTTATTTCGGCTTACAAGTTACAGTCTATCATCAGAGTAAGGCAGGGCAGGAACCCTTCCCCCCACTCTTTGAGACAGGGCCCCATTGTGTAGTCCTGGCTGTCCTGGAACTTGCTATGTAGACCAGGCTGGCCTAAAACTGACAGAGAACTGCCTGCCCCTGCCTCCCAAGTGCTGGGCTAAAGGCATGCACCACCAAGCCTGGCCCTGTTCTTTTTTAAGAATTTTTATTTAATTATGTGTACGTGAGTATCTATGTGCATGAGTGCAGGTGCCCTTGGAGGCCAGAGATATCAGATCCCTTGGAACTGGCGTACAGATGGTTATGAATTGCCTGATGTGGGTGCTGGGAACTAAACTTGGGTCCTCCGCAAGAGTAATAAGTGCCCTTAACTGCCGAGCCATTCCTCCACTGCTGAGACCCTGTTGTGAAACAACA